AATAACTATTGATAAATTTCATAGGAGGACGAAAAGGATGTTTCCAAACCTGAAGGTGTCATGGAATCGAATACGGACGTAACTGAATGGCGTATGGAAGTGGAAAGAGTTTTACCTTCATTGAAGGTTCACATTAAATCTGATAATAAGGCTAGTATTTGTGCTATCATATACGGCACTCATATTTTCATATTTACATTATCATACTGTGTAATAATTATTCATGGCCGAACAATAATCGTAGGATTGGCGCAGTCATCTGGAACAAATGCATCAGTATCGAGATGGAATTGAATCAACGTTAACAGAAACAAGGGTAAGTATCTGGATAATTTATTTTACATTCAGCAGGATAATTTTTGTATTATCTAAACCATTAACATCCTTAAATTTAAGTTATCATAACTAATCTTATTAGGGGCATTTAGATAAGCTACATCAAGAAATCACTAAAACGCTGGAAAAAATTTCCAGTCGAGAAAAATATGTCAATAATCAGGTAGATCAGTACCTATAAGTAATCATGTTAGTGATAGCGATCCCGATATAACATAGGTAAAATACAAATATTATGCATTTCAAGAAGTTAAAACCAGCCTGTGAAGCTAGTAATTAATACTAATGCGGACAGGACTGTATTAAATAATTATAATAACCAATTATACTCAGTCGATCATCTTCGTTACAGTTTCCTCATGCAAAATTTATAACCGATATCGTTAATATTACTCGTATAAATTTGATAATTGATATAAATGTTACTATTTATTTAATTTATTAATAGCTAGATAATAGTTTACAAGAGTTCAGGGGCAGGCGAGATGGTCTAGCAGAGGTATGTTTCACGTCATCTATCTCAGTTCTATGGTTATCTATCTATAATGCTAGAACTGCTTCAATTTATGAATTTCGTTGGCTTTTAAATTTGAGCATAATTTAATAAACATAAAACTTTACGTATTGGTACATGAAATAGATAAACGAGAAATACAAGCAAGGAAGTGTAGGCGTCAATAATTTGACAAAAACATTATCTCAGGTGAGCGTTTTCGATATCAGTAGACTTTTTACGCTTGTTTAATGCAAGGCATAAAATTAAGACTGGAACTTAGATTCAAGTAGACGTCTTACTTGAAATACTTTTTTTATTCTCATTATACAGATTACAGAAGAACTTGAGGTTATCAAATCTCAAATGGACGAACGTGGAACAAGCATGACCGACTCAGGTTGGAAATGAATTCTTGTATTAAGACTTCATTAAGAAAGGTATTGGTGTTATTATTGTCATCAATATTTATTTATTCATTATTCTGGAATACATATAATAGGTCCACTTGTTAAAATTAAACAAGCCTTAACTCGCTTGAAAAACGATATAACACAAATGGATTTGCGAATTGGTGTTGTAAGTGATGCACTATTATTAATCACAAGCAATAGTTTGTAAGACTTTACGTTCATAGTTGCGGTCTCTGACTTGCAGTTGCTACATTAGTACAAGCAAAGCTTATAGCAATGACTTTCTGACGTACCTTTGAAATATTAAAACTGCACGTTTACAGCTAATTTTTACTTTAGTATATAAATGGTATTAATGTCTTGCAAGTAAGAGTGAATGAGAGATCATTTTTTCTTTGACTCATAGGTTGAACATATCCTAATGAATGCACGATTGAAAGATAAATCAAATTTAAGACAAGATTTGGACTTGGCAACGACTGGTCCCCAGGAATCTTATACAAATTTTCACTTATATTAATACTTGACGAAATGCTTTCATCTTCTTCAAATAATTACCTTTAGTGAAACCACTACTGTATTCATTCTAGAAATGCCATCGTTTTCTAAGCGTAGCATTACTTCATTATAGCATCATACCTTTATTTTAGAGATCAGTCTATTGCGTTATAAACAAGCTAGACAGCGGCAATTCCTACTATAATATCGGAATTGAATTTATAAACGCTAGCCATCTATCGACTAGGCGCAGAAAGGAAGCGTACTGTCTACTGATTGTACAATACAACCACGCGTACAATGATCCCAATTACATCTTCTCAGGCTATCCTTATTAGATAATTACAGGTAAACGCCTGATTTTAGATTGTCGTGTTCCGTAATCATTTTCTGATTAATCCATTTCATGTTAGAAATTGAATATACGATTCATTGAATTTGTAGCATTATTGACTATACAAAACCTTACGATGGCGATTTACACTGTCATTTAACTTGCAAGTGTAGTCGATAACCTTTTATCAAAGAATGATAGCCTACTTTACGGTATTAAGACAGTCTACCCAATTGAGGGTTTTATCCAATGGTAGAAATATGTCAGCCAATGATATTGCATTGAATGGTGTCGTTCTATGATCCATTTATCCTACTGCAAATAAATTCAATCAAATGATGAAAGTCATGGATTTACTATTGCGTTCACTTTTGCCGACTTTAATCCTACTCAGAACAGCGTTTTTATTCAGTACTACACTGCAGTGAAAATAGCGTACTGTAGTATGAAATAATATCATTGCTAATACTATCCTAGTATCAAGAGCAACATGGCATCAGATCACTGCATGATAGAATCGGTACAGTCCATACATTCATAGCATACCTGTCTTGATCTACATCATCCTATACTGTACATTTGCTTATTCAATGCATTCTCGATCTCCATTTTAGCAACAACACCAGTAACGTGTGTTGGTGAAACTTGAATAAATATACTCCTTCTCGATCTAATCTCTCTCTGATGATCGATCACCATTTTAGCAACAACATCAGGAACGTATGTTGGTGAAACTTGAATAAATATACTCCTTTCCTCCTCGATCTACCTACAGTAAAATACATTCTCGATCTACTCTCTCTCTCTGATGATCGATCTCCATTTTAGCAACAACACCAGTAACGTGTGTTGTTCGTGAAACTTGAATAAATATACTCCTTTCCTCCTCGATCTACCTACAGTTAAATGCATTCTCGATCTACTCTCTCTCTGATGATCGATCTCCATTTTAATATCAACACCAGTACAGCGTGTTGGTGGTGAAACTTGAATAAGTCGACTCCTTTCCTCCTCAATCTACCTGTACAGTGTACAGTACATTACTGACATCTCTTTGACATACTGTACTGTAACCCAAATACGGTACTATACCGTGCAGTAACATTGCATGCAGTACTCAGTACAGTACAGTACATGGTTTATTCTTTTCGCTGATATTTTACAGTACTGTACAGTACTGTACAGTGTACTGTATGGGCTTAGTACTGTACTGTATGCCTCTTTGTCTTTCTTTTATCGGTAGTTTCTGATAACAGTACAGTACTGCACCATAAGCTACAGTACATTATACTGTAATCCGAACTAATGTACTGTACACTGTACTGTACGTACTGTACTGTACAGTCCAGTACTGTAGAGTGTACAATACGTACTACTGTATACTGTACAGTACTGTACGCCGTACGGGGCTGTAGCTGAATACTGATCCTTCCGATCGTCTAGTAAGTTCTTCACGATAGAGTCAGAGTGGACTACATGAGGAAGGACGAAATCGAAATTACCTCAAGTCGTCCTGCACTGAGTTTGTAACTGGATTGAGTTTGAACTGAGTAAATTGTACTATTGAAGACAAAGATGACCTTCTTTCATCTTGCCAATTGCCTAGCACTTGGTTATGTACCTTATTTTATTACCTATAAGTATTCAAAACTGTAAGTACCATTTGTAATGCACAAGTTCGAAGCTGAAAGCAGTCTTGATCATTCTATACCAGTCTATTATAATGAGCTGTGACTGCAAGATACAATCATTTTAAATTAGTAGTCTTTGGTCAACATGAAATGAAATTGAATTAAATTGAGGCAAATAATAGACGTATATCAACCGTTGAAGACTAGGATGTGTACCTTGAGTCTGCTATGCAAAAGAAAAAGTACATTTAGTGATGCGCTTTTACTGTAGTCTGTTTGCTCCGGCGAGTTGATCACTCATGTGCGTCAAATTTAAAACGCCAGAAATGCCTTGACATTCATCTTCTCGTTAGCTCAGCTTGACAATCGTAATGTTATACGTCTGCTAATCTTTTGACGTGATCATTTTGTTAATAATGTTGCAGATCCGAATATAGTGCCTTTAATAAATGTATTAAAGTTGGAGCAATGTACTTCATAACGCAGGCTGTGAAGGTACGCATGGTATATTCAGGTTTCATTTACAAATAATGTGATAATTTCGTACTTAACCAATGACATGGATGAATTATAATTGTTTTAATCAGTTGTTAGCTTTAGCAACAATCTTCCCAGTAACTTATGATGCCTCGGATACCTTGGATGCTAGATCGGTAAAACCACTAGTACACGTAACAATATTTTCTTTTGTATCATGATTGTTGTGTGAAACCACATATTACAGTGCGTTATCCTTAATAATAAGCCCGGATTTCAGTGCTTACAACCATAGATCCACAATTAAGAGTATACTGTATAACGTGGTGTTAAGTTCGAGATTATCTATGTTATATTGTGCAGTCATTGATTTTGCATTTCACTAAAACATACTATCCATTAATGTTGACAAACCTACAAATCAAGTGCTCGTATGCGCTGGATACCCTTCACGACATAAAATCTTAACGTGAATAAACTTGATGTACTGGCTTAATTGAATAGATTATCGATCATGCATGTGATAATATCAACTAGTGAAGGCTATCCTTATAGACATCGTAGCTGTATTGATATTAGTGCTGTAATTCTTAAAATGCCAATTGCTTTTCTTACGGATTCTCTTTAGGAGATTATAAAATGTACGATAGATTTGTTGGATGTTACTGGTTTATATTTCGCACTATCATACACGACTGTGGCAGCTGACTGCAGAATTTTAGCTGTTGGAATGGGTAAGCTGATAACTGATTGAATGATTTAAAAGTTAGGAAGATGGATAGTTACGAACATATGGAGTAATGGTGATCCATACAGTTCAGCTGTAATCTTTATTTACTGGCTACTGATATTTTATGCGCAGTCAAGTTACTAGAGTGATTGTATCATTTGTTGCCATAAAATCAATTCAACGCACAACCTTACAATTTTGCCTTAGGTTGGTCGGCTGCCGAATTTATGGCCACCCGTATTTTGCCTCTTTGGGTTGGAGCTCGTGGCGTCGAGTTTGAGTGGAAATATATCCTTTTAAGCTTCGATGGGAATATTAGCTTGGTAAGTATTGGAGCTTCTACATTTGGCATGTTGTTGATGCCTTACGGCTGAAGCTTAAATGTCTTTGGGTTGAAGCTTTGTTCATTGCCCATGCGTCACCATTTGGTAAATTAACAGTCAGATATGGACTGTAAGAAGCTGTAATGCGCGTAATATTAATTTCTAGTGAAGTTATCGTTCACTTGATAACGTAAATCGCTACTTATAATAAGTGCTTAGGAAATGCATGACCCAAGTAAATTCATTAGCAAAAATAGAGACCTAAATGATGATGTAACTGTTATTTTAAAATTTATGGAACTTTGTGAAACATTCATAATTAATTATATTAAGAGTAGTCCCTATTATATGAAAATCGGACAGTACAATTTTTGAACCGTCAATGCTTTATTGATTTTATATGCAATAGATCCAATATACTGCAGTAGCGGCTCTAATGTGGAATTGGCTCCGCCTCAATGACTCCAGCAAAGTAATTTCAGCGCTTATTTTACTGCTGATTTCGCTTTTGTTTTTCATGCCGGTTATATTCAGGTTTGTAAGTGAAACATACCTATGCTTTGATAACATGAATTTATACATCATTACGATTTTAGTGCTCTTATATAGTAGTTTACGATAGGTAATTAAAAGCGCATGCAGGATCGTAGCAGATTTGTCTACATTAACATAATCAAGTTTACTATTTGCTCTTTCTTTGTTGATAACTCGAAGATTAAGTATTACGCATTTATTTCTTAAAATGTAGCACTTCTGTCCATCAATGTTCATGTTATTGCATTACACTGTATATTCTAGTTAGAAAGTCTCGTTGAGTATGTTCATACTGATTCCTTAGTAAATCAAATTCAGTTTCTAGTATTCTGCAGATAGTCTAAATTCGTAGCGATACCGTTTTGAGTAATCAGTATTGCCTCGGAAATTGAAATGGAGTAAGATGCTCATTTTTCAATTTTATTGTATTACAGATTGCTGATTCAAATCCAGCCGTTAAGGAATTTGGGTATTTTGCCCTTCAAAGTTGTCTTCACTAGCACAATTGGCGTTTACGCTATGTACTTATACTTTGCTATATCGGCAAAGCCTAGATATTGATTAAGCAGTCATAATCTATGATTTATACAGGTGAATCGTGAATATTTGCATCTGCTGCTGTCGTAGCAGTAACCTGGAACTACTCATTGTACTACGTTTAAAATTTTATTGCATACTTTTTATTAACTGTAAAAACTTCACTTAGAACGCGTTTGAAAGATTAATTGAAATCTTGAATTTTTACAATTGTTCATAACCATATAAAACATTATTTCAATAAGCTATAGAATTAAATAAACAGTAGTATTGCTACATCGTATGTTGGTGATAATTGTCTAAGGGTACATCACACGGCAGGGAATGATATCCACCGAGCCTCAGTACATTATATCTAACTGAACTTCGTAGCAGCAGTACCTAAATGAAATTACTATGGATATTTTTGTAATTGTTCTTCATGTAATTCAGAGAATGCATCCCTCATTCGTTTCAGCAGGACAAACTTAGATTGCAGGTAAGCAGCTTTATTTTCTATTTTTGCCAAGCGATTCTCCTATACAGCCCGAATTAATAATCATCGAGAAATATGAGTACGTTTATTGAAGACAGGAGTATATTCAGTAGCTTAAATAGACAAAATTCCAGATCTGCAGAACAGCTATCACAACTAAGCGTGCCGTTAACAACGGTAACTAAGAGCGGCAGATAAAAGGCAAAAATTCGTCTAGATTAATATGCACTCTGTACAGTAATGGTAATCATTGATTCTAACCAGGGGGAAAACATGACTATATTGTATTTACGTTAATTAAATATCGTTTTTCTATTGTAACATACCAGGGTCGCTTCTCTAGCACTGACAAAAAATTCAGAGAACCATCCAATGTTATTTAAATTTTCACTTAACGAAGCTATTCCTTTCGCTATTGCTGGAAAAAAATGCACGACATCTCTGCAAGATATGTCCAATGTTAATATTTGTGTTACATCTATAATTGTATCATAGTTGAGTTTTGACAAAATGAATTTAGCATTTAAAGCGCAGCGACTTATGCCGTACAAATAATGTTCAACACTACGAGGGACTCATAAGAAAAAGAAGAGTGCCTGAAACTAAGTGCAGTGCAGCCATAAAGGCTAATATAAATGTAACTTCTTTGACGTCTACGTTCAATCACGTGAAAAACAATGATCTTAATGTTAACTATTTAGGCACAGAATAGCCAATATTGATGTAAAGTATCACTAATTAGGGTGTTGTGATTCAGCTAAATCAGTTACAGTTAACAGATCCTCAACTAATATCTCGCTATTCTTTGCACACTGAATATTCATTTGCTCATCGATCGTAGCACCAACGCAGCTGTAATACGCACCCATGATACTTTGCATTCACTTCCAAATAATCACCAATGACAGATTCCTGCAGAACGGATAGTATTCGTTCCTGCTTTTCAATCACACTAGTAAGATGAGCAGTTAGATCTTCCAGCAATTCCACTTTGGATACTGTTGACAAATGTAACAAGCAAGAATCAAATCATGCTGTGTCGTCGACACAGTCCTTGCACTGTTTCATGTTGTAGTAATGAACAATGTACACTCAAGTATCATGTTAAAAGGAAATCGACTCAAATAGTAACAATAAATTACGAACCTAAATGATCGATACGGGTAATATCGCGAGTCATTTTATCTTTCTCTATATAGCACATTTCGCAATCAACCTGGTTGAGGGGGAATTGTTCATCCATTACACATAGCATACAGGCAAAGTATAAAAATTTCTTGAAATTACGTTAGATCGGACAATAATAAAACATTATAGTATCTACTCCGTTGGGCTATCAAGATGCAAGATATCATAGAACAACGACTACATTTTCATAAGGATCTTACGTTATCTAAGGCCTCGGTTAAAGTATCGATTTTAGATAAGGTTTTGAGTAATTTCGATGATATCCAGTTGTCCGTTTGAAACTGTTGGCTGACCTTTAAATGGAAATGATGACAGTCGATTATGTCATTTAATACGTTGACTGCATTACGACATCAACTTTTACAATAAGTTGCTTGATGAATTTATACCGATGATTCCTCGTTTTCTTTATGAAGCAAACTGCCATGTTCATGCTTCTCAACAATACTTAATATGCGCTGCAAAGAACCTAACTGAATGTGCGAATCGGTAAGCCAAGGATTGGATTCTGCAGATTCTGCTTTGGAGACGATCTCCGCCATTCTTGTTATCCGTACAGAATCACCATCAATATTCTGTATTGCACAGTGTACAGTGTACCGTATGAACTTTGTACTGTACAGTTTCTGCAGTCAAGTCGTTTGTACTGTAAAAATGTCCGTGGCGTACTGTACAGTACTGTAGTATAGTACAGTAATACCGTACGTGCAGTACTATGCACTACTAGAAATCATTAGAGTACACTACAGTACAGTACAGTACACTACAGTACTTTGTTTTGGCAGTTGGTCAACATTGCTTTGGCGGCAAAGTTTTCGAACAAGAGTACTGTACAGTACACTGTACAGTACAGTACAGTACAGTGTACAGTCGTTGTACTGTACTGTATGTACTGTAAGAGTCGTACCAAAAACGCCTTCTTCGTGTGTGTGCAAAACAGATATCGCGAGTTAATGCATTTTACACTATTGTATAGCGTCAATATTTTAGACAACATCGAGTTTACACATTGGACGCATTTATCGGCATAACCGATGGGCGATGGCAGGCTTTACCGGTAGTCCATGGTTATTACTTAATTCCCAGGGTTACTCAGTAGTAGGTCAAAATTCGGTCGGATAATTTATAATTAATAAGACGTTACTTAAACCACTTTGATATACTGTATACTGTGGACGCTACCTGATCCTGACTTTCATTTCAAGACTTCCATTACAGTGATATTAAAATGGAGATTTTGAGTTGTTAAGTCAGTAAGAAACGGACGTTGTCACAAATGGTATGTGACAGATATACTCTTTTATTTCGCGGTAGGAAGGGACTTATCTACGAATTTTCTCTTACCAGAAGTCCCCGACATTGGCGACCATTCGATTGCATCAGATCAGTAATTCGGTAATCCGCCAAAATGAGTAAAAATACGGAGGAAAGTGAAAGAAATCGATATTGAACACGTTGATCCTGCTACGTATCGATAGTATACCGTGTTAAAATGACTAGCAAAATGGTTAGCTGTCAATCTGAAACAAATCTTTGGTGTGGTGAAGGATAGTTCTAGGCGTGTTCTCTTTCTTTTCTTTTTATGTGATTCAAACAACTGGCGTTTACACTAATGCGATGCAATAAAATTTTCATCAGTATTGATGTTTTATCTCGTGAACGGGTTTAACCAATTCGTTTAACTTTCAATAGACAATTTTCTTTTATTACTGGACAGTACATTATAGTACAATGTACATGTACTAACAATCATTCCTAAGATAGTTACAACTTACACTCGTATCTTTCGTAACCTTAGCGCTAAAATTATAGATGAGTGTTATTATAATTCGAAATAACTACATCACACTACAGTACATATGCTGCTGTCAATGCATTTATGCGAAAAGAGAGAAAGCATAGGGACTTTTATAACTAACTTTTAAGCTACTTTTCTGAATTATAATGATTTTATATTTTCTGCCGGTAACGAACTACTATACCGTACTTACACTGAACTTCTAGTGATTTGTACATTCATTTGATCTCGACAGTTCGCCCTAACTATTACTCGGTTTAGTTTCGTACGACATTGGGGCTATTAATCAATTAATTAAATCGTGATCTAATACATAAATGTATCTACTGTACTGTATAGTATATTAATAATAATATAATTGTTCTTACTTTGACTAGGATACAGTATTTCTCTCAGTTCTGAATCACATCCGGTATCATACATGAACAGAAATTAAATAACTATGAACTCCCTGGTAACTTTCTTACTATTCAGAAATTAATCAACAATATAGCCGATAACGCCTATAAATAATTAACATATTTCTATTTTCAATTCACCGCAATATTCACAATTATTATAATACTAGAGAATCGGTAATAATTAATTAATTAATTAGTTTCGTATTTGTCAGACAAGTGGTTATCTATCATTTTTATTGCATTACTGTATCGGTAGATAGGAGTTTCTGGAAGTTGCTGCCATTATTTCTTCATACTATCTTTAGGAGAAACCGTAACTCTACTAGTCACTCTTAGATAAAATCGAACCCAAACTTTATTGATAACTCAGTCAATTTATAGTAAATCCATATGAACATTAATTATCATTATATGGATAACATTATGCAACTAAGCAGTTATCTATTTAAAATATTTATAACGTCATAGATAAATAAATATTACAACAATCCTAGGGAAGTAATCTTATTATGGAAACTATGTTATGACTGCTATGCAAACATTACCTTTATCCTTAACGAAAGAAAATTTCCCTCGATCTATGATTGACATATTGATAACGGTGCAGTATTAATTAATATATGCGAAATTAGAATGGAGAAAGTATAAATACTGGTCTATGCTAACGAGTAATAATTTTTAGGAAGGTGATCGAAAAGTTTATACTTATTCATTATCAAGTGTTGTACTAATTGAGTTTGCAGCAATGGCAAAATGTACTTTACTGATGTGCTTAATCCTTTTAGCTATTCTATCAACCGCAAGAATGACAGTAAGTTAAATGGTATCCAAAATATTTAAAGAGTACCGAAAGTATAGCTTAATTCTGTAAAACTGATGCACAGTATCTTTATAAAATTTAATTTATTAGGTAATTAAGAAAAAACCCAAAACATGCGCTGAAGTTAGAAATATATTTCGAGTCTCGTACAATGGATATTTTACACTCTATGATTCTGTAAATAAGCCCTATCTTGTATTTTGCGATTTCCTATCTGATCCTGGATTCGCATGGACACTTATAGAATCGTTATCAACAACTAATGCACGAGCCACTACTCGCACATACGACAAGGGCTTTTATTATGATGTTGCCTCCAACGAGTGCACACCTAATTGGTCATGCTATCGACTTTCTAAAGCCAGAATGCTTTCATTAAAGAATGCACCATTATCGACACATTATCGTGCTACGTGTAACTTTGATAGCCAAGGCGTGAAAGGACTTCAAAGTCGTCGTGATTACTTAAAGGGATCATTTTGTGCAAATAAACTATTTTTCGCTCCAAAAGCGCATGCAACTTGTGTTATAGTCGACTATATCAACGTTCGTGGACATTATTGCAGAAAATGTAGTCTTCCATTCTGGACCGATCCACACCTTCATTTACATATAGATGTTTCGCATTCAAGTAGAATGTGTGGAAGATTTACTGTCAGTAATCCTGTATCAAGTGAAGACGTTTTCGGCCATTATTATGGAATTAATAAATTGTTTTCTTGCACTGCAACAGCTACCACAACAACGAACTGGTGGATTGGTGGCCCATATCGTCATTAAGTAGACATCATTGAATTATAGTGGCGTACAGTGCTTAAACCAACGTCTTACGCTAACTGAATGTATTTTAAGAACTACTGGATCCTCTTTATTATCGATATCTTTCCTCCAAGCTTTCCAAAATACCTCCTAGCACGTACTTATATAGCAAACTCAAGCTACGAGGGGTACTGATAGTTTAAATGCAATGTCTTGATTTTAGATAACTGATTATGATAACTTGTATGGTGTCAAATCTTACTTTATTAGTATCTAACTTCATAATTGTAGTGTATTTGGATTGTATTGTAAGTGTAATCTACTCTTAAATATAGTTATCACATTGTACCTAACTACTATCTATAATAAAGTATCCTCTTTTCTTAAGCTCCTTGTGCAATTCTCTGCGTGGCAACTAAAACTACATTATCTGACTCTTCGAACCCTCCATCACAATTTCTGAAGACCACTTTTAGTTAGTTAGTCAGTTAGTTAGTCAACTAAATTGTCAATTGCTATTGAATTGTCAAGACTTTAATCTTGGTTGTCCAGATTTCTTCAGTAATAAATAGTAGTAAATCTCTGACTACCTCGTCTACACTATCTGTGGCGCTATAATTATACTATAGTATTCGGTCGTTGGAACTGAATTATTTGGTCATATAGCTAATCTCGCCTCAGTCAGTCAAGAGGCGTTCTTCGTAAGCATTGGCATGAGTAGACTACTTTATCACTAGTGGTGTGTGACAGTATCATACTTCGTAAATCATAAGTATGAACTCTAGTAGAATTTTTTGGACTGTTTAACTTTCCAAAACTGAAACTTTACTTTAATTCCACGCCTAAAATAGCATAAAACCTAGAGTTACTCTAGACGAAGAGTTTCTTTTTTCTGCGTAGTATCGTGATAAAAGTTGCTATTTTGATTTTAATCTTGAATTCAATCAGTCACCAATTCCATATGTTAAGTAGGAATACTTTATAATTTCGTAATATACGCGTATTGTAATATACAAGTAAAGGCATTACTAATTAATCCATCAAATTTCGTTAGTTATCTTAGTAAATGTCATCGGACTGCTTCCATTTTACAACGAGTGTTACGAAGTAAACATGCATATCTACAGTACTTAATGCTATGCAAGATACTGTAATAGACTAGCTTAACTTTAGCATTGAAATTACTTAAATACTGCGTTTACGGTGTATCTTCCATGACGTACAGAAAGGCTATCACCAACTAGTTCATTTTTACTTACAAGTCTATGTTTATTTGCAAAAGCTTTCGGCGTTCAATATAATTTACATAGGCATCGTCAGGTTAGACAGAAAATGCGTATTAATTTACTGCGAAGCTTTTTGTTAAGCTAGCATAGTTTTAGTATAATAACGCTTTTTTTGGAAAAATGACTTAATTCCCAGTCCAGCGTCATATCGAAGTCAATAATTAACCTTAACCTTTAGAATATTGAAGTTATGAGAAGCAAACAATAAGAAAGAATTCTTTTTTTTAATGAAATTACGAAAGCATAAAAGGTTTCATAAACTTGTAAAAGTTTTACGAAAAATAAAGAAGATGACTCTAATTCTTTAGCTGTAAATACGGTAGTCATTGGCAGTTGGCCTATGTAAATTTATAAGATGAATACAGTATGCGAAATAGCAATAATGCAGGGATGCATTTTCGAATCAATGGATTTTGTAGTAATTAATATGTATGATTTTATGTACACCAAAATCAGTTGGTAGTCACACGTTATTATTCCTGATTTTCGCGAGATAAAATGTTCAGAATTATAATATATCAAATTTAAAAAGCCAGAAAATGATGAGTTTTATATTATTATTCGCACATTTGGCAATGCAAGCTCGATAAAATATTAGATTGGTAATTAATTAATCCTACAACAACGCGAATTATATTCAGCTTATTGGGCTACGAGTATGTAGACTTCTGAATAATAAAATAAGTCGGTCCAAAACTTTATAAAAGATAATTTTTCCGTATAAATCAATTTCAATTGTTTTCAGATTTTTTCACGCAGTTAAAATTGATCTATTCATTCGATTAGAAGCTCTGTGTGAAGTTTAATTAATATGTCAAATAATTAAATCATAATGGTATAAAGAGATATTTTGCATCTCTCTATCGGATAGGCCGCTGTGATCTTAAGATATTTACATGCTAATGAATTTAAGATCACTGAAATAGAGCTAATTTAGACTTTCTTAAAATGCAATTATTATCTTATTAGTATTGCATTAAGTTTTATCTTGGTGGGGCATCACATTGGCTACGTGCGCCATACAAAAATTTGTGATTTATTCTTAGATTGGTGAGTTATATAAGAAATAAAGATTAGCAGATCTGTTAACATTAGCAATTGTTGATCTTAGGATGAAACAAGTTAGTATTATCATGCCAAAGTAAACATATAAGATTTAGATTGCCAATATTCTAATTATTTTAGTTATAGCTTCAGTAGGATGCCTATCATATAGATTATAAATGTCTGTATCACTCTGCCGCTAATAGAAAAAGAAAAATTCTTCTATGTCATAGCTAAGAAATTTAATCGGTTTATTACTGAATAGGCCTAGCAGGGTATGTATTGGCTTGCAGAAGACAAATAATATTGTCTAAGGTGTTAAAAAATGATCTTTCTAAGCAACTGGTTGCTGCATTGGAAACTACGGTGTCATTATATAATGATTTATGCAGCTAAAGTCTTTATCAATAGTTAATTATTTGCCTATAAACTTAATAATTGTTAGGCTCTTTTTATAAATGTCTGAACCGAGAAGAGTGGCAAACAAAGATTGCAATTCCCAATGTAATACCAGTTGATACTTGCATATACAGGCTCTTTTGCGAAATAGGCGTTTCATTTCACAGCTAATGTGTCTCCTTTATTAAAAATTGTTACTCTATTATCACCAGAAATATCAGTAATGCTGTAAATATGCAATCATTACAGAGGTGACTTTACCTGTTTAGTGCACACTTATATGAGAACTTTATTTTATTCAATATCAATGAAATCTCATGCTGTTTTTTTCCTAATCCATTAGTCCATTAGAAACGCCAGCAACAGTATAAAAGGTTGGAAAAGGATCCTTTATCGACAGACATTTTTTTCCTGCTACGTCTCGGAAGCAAATTTAAAGTGAGGTTTGTTACTAAATGTAAGGTACCAAATTGAAATGATCTTTTTTATTTTAAATTAGTTTATTACAGACTGCAATATAGTCATCAACATATAGCTATAATTGTTTATTTAAGTTTCATAGTCAGAGATTCTAATGTTTCTCTGCGTGAAGAATGGATAGCACTCGTGACTTACACATATGTCTGTTAGTAAGACTGAACCTTAGAAATTCAACCTCAAGTTTACAAAACATAATAATAATTCTCATCGATTGCAAACGGCATTGACTGACCTATGAATATTATAGTAGAACTACCGTAATTATCATTCTTCCATTAAATCCGTCTTTCCAAAGTAAAAGAATCATTCTATACTTTATTAAATCATCTAGAGAGCATGAACATTAAATTGATTATCCTTGCTACCTGCCTATTCGCCCTTGTCTGTAATGCAGACACAGATGCAGAGCGTGAACCAGATTACGATGTCAAGGATGTCGATGATCGTGATGAAGAAGAAGCAGAAGAAGGATCAGAAACGGATCTGGAGGAAATAAAAAATAACATTAACATCAACAATAACAACAATAATAACAATAATAACAATAATAACAATAACAATAATAACAACAATAACAACAACAATAACAGCAACAATAACGTAAGTGCTTAGGATATATAGCGCAAGTAAGAGTTGAGAGCCAGTTGCATAAAACTATATATGTCAAGTGATGGAACTTAGTTGATAGGATAATTTTGCCATGAACTAATTAATTTGTTACCATAGCCAACCTCTACCGTAAAATCTTATCCTTCGACAGCAATTTTTAGTTTCAATAGGAAACATACTGAAACTTGAGCAAATTTTGTACCGCTCTTAATAACTTACTTACTATACAGGAAATTAGAATTGATTCCTTAGGCGTTTGATGATACTTTTTTCTACTGGCACGAGGTTCTAATTGGTGTGAAGTTTGTCTAGGTCTGTATTTATCATTGGAAAGTGATAGCTCTGATAAACACGATTAAAATATTTACTAATTTTCAAATAGTGGAGTAGATGCCGCCGTAGTTGGAGACGTCGATGCAATTGGGCTAGACGCCGTCGCAGTTGGAGACGTCGACGCAATTGGGCTAGACGCCATCGCGTGAGGAATTGCCGCTGTTGAGGCAGCTAGCTTTCTGTGAAATTTCCTTTCAATGACATGGCTGTTAACATCTTATAGTTGATAACCTTAGTAAATCATTGATTATGTGATCTAAAGATAACTCATAGACATGGTAATCTGAAAGTGCACGTTGGTCGTAGATTAGTTGCTTACTCAGTATAGTTCTGTTTGTTGCATGTTCGAATTAGATGGTAATAAACTATGTTTGCGTAAGATTAAAGAAATATTACTCTTAACTTAAGTCCATGTCATGTGAAAACAATAAAATAAATAAATCACCATAATTGTTCCGCAAATTAATGAATTTTATAAAATCATGAACGTAAAGCTCATGATGGCCGCTTAATGTGAAAATTGACGCTTGCTTTTCAACTGTAGTGAAATATGGGTATAATTATGCGATGATAGAAAATTGACTATGATATCGTATATTATTTGGATACAAATTCACTGATTAACACCATAATTTTAAATCGATCGATAACAAATTCAGAGCCTCGCATAAAATGCTAATACAGCATGTAATTACCTTGCTAAATTTAATTTTAATTCTTAACTAAGTAATCTTAATAGTCAATGATTAATCGATGTGGTAATATTTCCGATTTATTGTCAAGGTTAAATCAGGCAGTATTATAGTGTATAGTATAAGTAAATTTAGTAGTATTAGAAGCCGATAATAAATGTATCGGTGTCAGTGATTATAATTCATGGTTTCGCTGAAACCTGCCGATATTACAATATTATTAAAAGCTGACAATTGACAATTAATTGATAAATCCTCTCTTATAGTCTGGGGGATTCTGATTTTCTGACATTAAAATTTAGGATAACGAATGATGTTGGGCGTTATTTCTGGTTTTCTTGTTAAGCATTATTCATATTTCTGAAGTTGAATTACTCCAGTATTTCTAAACCCAACACGTTAAAATGGCTTCATTTAAATAATTGAGTTACAGGCATAACGCTGGCTATGCTTCACTTATTTATCGACCATGAATATAACAATAGGGTAAAGTAAATTTTAAGCAGCCAAAAGCAAAATCTGAAAGCATAATTATATACTGAATAACTTAGTCAAAATGGCTAATAGCTGTTAACAGTTAAAATACTTCATAGCTAGGCGTTAATTGAATATAGGCTAAAAATCTCGACAGATATTCTAATGGAGCGATGATATTACAATATGAGAATAAAGTCTGAAATTAAGTACTCACGAGTAAGCTCATTTAATATCGTAAAACTGACTTGAAAAAACTAGAGTATGGTCTCCTCCATGTTTCTATCCTCTCATATAGGGCAGCTGATAGTTCATTACTAGAATTTTTTGCCTCTAGCTGTTAAGAATCTAGATTTACAAAGGTACTTTAAAGTGTTACGAGGTGGTTAAACACAAAGTACTCGCTGTCGACTCTTTCAATAGACCTAAACTGTAACTCAAATACTAATAACTTCGGCAGGCTAAACTATGAATCCTAACTTTATTAAAAAGCCAGCTAATATATAGCGTAGTTACATAATCAATTTTTTATTAAAACTGAAGTAACATGAATAAAGTATGCAATAATTTTTATATAACAAACATGCAAAACGTGGTTAATAAGCCTTCTTAGCATATTTCTTGAAAATTTATCTCAGGATGACTGAAATACAGCTATTCTATATTGGTTCCTTTGTAATACTACTGCTAATAGACTTTTAATTATAAATATCATACGGTGGTAATTTTGCGCTACTAGTTTTGGTTAAAACAGGTTATGGAATAGATTCCTATTCTATTACAAATTATCGCCGGTTAAAAAAATTTAATGAATATTACATTCTAAGTGTTGCTTTGCCGTTACGAAAAGTAGATACTCATACATTTATCTACCATAACGACATCAATGCTTATGGCATATTAAGAGATTGACACTTATATTAATTATAGAAAGCTTAAAAGTAAACGACTATGTCTTTGTTATATAGGTTAAGAGAACTGCCATAAATAATTTACATAGATAGCGATCAAAGGTTCACATTTTTTTCCATATATACTAATAGCTTGTCGAATTATTAGCCATCTGTAAGTTTAGCTATGTAAAATAGTAACCATTGTTTGGTAAGAAATCATTATTTGCAACGTTAACAAACTTACAGTATAATTTCATTCGCCGTTCGTTAATTTGGCTATTAAGTCTTTATATTTAAGCTGTACTATTTCAAAACTGAAATTGCAATTGAAGTAATTATACGCTAATACTCGTTATTTTTATTCATAAGGATTTCTTTTGCTTATAACGATATTCTTCTTGTTCAGACGTGCAAGCAATGAAAAAGGAAAAAATTTACTGTGCTAATTAATCGCTACTTTAATTCTTCCCTGAATGGACTAGTTTGGCTGAATTTGTTGACTTAATCAACCATAACTGTCCTGTTCTTAGTTTAATTTAAATTTATTATCTCGCAAAGGATAACTTGTTAAATCATTAAACGTTAAAAAGTATTCGAGTTCGAACAAAAGGCACCACCTTGTCTCTGTTGTAGTAAGTACAGACTGGCAACGGTAAATTTTTACGTAATTCTGAATTCGTAGCAACGAAAATTATGGGATTAATAGCGATATTGCAATAAGTTAATATGAGAGCAATTTGAGCTAAACTTTTATTTACAGTGTGATCGCTTTCATTACACCAATAACGAATAACACCATTGAGTAATAAAACATTAAATGGCAACCAACATAAGACATTAGTTCCAACAATTAATGAGATGGTTCTTAATGGTATTAGTATACTTTGATAGCGGTTTCTATCTTTGAAAGCTTTATTGTAAGCAATAACGAATTGGATTAAGTTACAAGATATGATTACCGCTACAGTTATGCTAACACCGATAGCATAAGCAGTATTAATAGCATCGTTTCTACTATTTACGTGAAATGGTAGCCAACATGTTGTTAAATGATAATATCGTCCGAAGCCACGATTTTCTAGAGATAGCAGTGGCATTATTGCCAATATTAATGGCCCGATGTAACAAGTCACAACGCCTAAAGCATAATTTCTAGCGGAAGTTTGTCTAATGTAGGTGAAAGGAGCTACCACTGCATGACATCGTTCTACACTTATCGCTACAGATAACATAAATGATGCGCCATTAAATATGCTGATTAAAAAGCCTTGCAATTGACAAAGTGAATTATGATTACCGATACAAACCATGGCAATTAAGAATGGTATTACAAATAAACTGGTTAAGAAGTCATTTATTGCAATAGCTGATAAAAGGACGTTGCTGTAAGTCCTTAATGAGGGTGTAAGATAAATGGTCCATAAATTGAAAAAATTGCCAAGCAATGCTGTAATCATAATAATGGACAAAAACATGATTTCAGCAGTCGGAGATAAACCAGTGAAAATGTCCATAGTTTCATTTACTAATAAAGAATGAGACGAATTTGGATTGGACATTGCAGGTCGTTGGAAATTGTAATAATTTCAGCTATTTATATGTTAGATATAACCAAATTCAAATTAAAGTACTGATATTGTGTCGAAATTATGATAAATTATGATGACATTCTAAACTACGATTTATGTGCTATTGCATACAAATTTTATATTTTCAAAGCTGGATGCTTACTTGTGAAAGAGCTATGCCATAAAATTTTGTATTAAATTGTTAACCATTGGAAAGAGAAAATTGCCTATGACTTTGCTATGCATGGATCAATATTTTACTAATTCACTAGGAATGCTAAAATGAGGAAAGGAATTATTTGTTATCAGTCATTTAAATTTAAATTTGGATGTTATTGTGTTGAATCGCAAGCTAATCTATTCCGTTCAAAAATAATGATATCAGTCCTCTTTTGAGTTTCTCTTAATTTATTTGCTGACATTTTATCGTCAATATCATATCTTTCATAATTGAAAACTTTATGGATATCAAGTTATTGTGTTCATGACAACACCTCCATCAGTTTCCTACATTTAGGTCTGTCAACTTATCGTATCCGCTCATAATCTTACTGTTTGTTTTATAAGAATAGCGATATTCGACTTCATTTACAATTCTTTTCAAATTCTAACATAAAAAGTTTTTATTATCGATATTGAGTGCACCAAAATAACTCGTTCTTCTCGTAAATTGTCAAAAAATTTTGCCTTTATTTAAGCAGGATACAGCTGATATATGTACATTAGTACAGTACATGATAAAATTAAATTATCTTACCTAATAATAAATCGATCAGTGCAGAATTCAACTTAAGTAATTTAGGCGGTTTATAAATACTTGCAATAATTTTGTGAAAGCTATGGCAAGAATTAAGTATCAATCATATGCAAGTGCATTCCGATAATTTTAGTATATGCGAATGTATGTAATTTAACGCGTATTGATATGGAGATACTGCTTCAATGCTTATTTCGATTACCATACTTACAAAAATATTATTGCAGGAGAATCTTATGACCGTAGAATTAAATATAATAACTTTAGCTATGTCATGTTGAAAGTAAGCTACTTGATTGAGGAATGACAATGAGAAAAATCCAGCTATTAATATAATGAAACCTATAACTTTAAATTTAGATTTGGGCATAATTTAAAGCAAAGACGTATGTGTTTCCTTAGTTATTTATTTAGGATATATAATGACGTAATTTACACTTCGTAATATATTTCTGTTCTATTATTGCAATGTCTAGCATTATTCTCTTGCTACTAAATGAAATTGACGGGCATACAATTGATATATAAGCAAGATGAAAATAGTAAAAAGACAAAGTTAAACTATTTTATAATGCACCTATATTAATTTCAATGATTTCTATTATTTCAAACAGTAAAGTATACTATCCCGTCGTCTTGGATCATGAATAAGTTAAGCAATAAAATTTTTGAGATATCTGGAATGTTAGGAAATATTTAACCTTATCATAAAGTAAAATCAAACTTACTTAACGGAGACTATAGAGGATCTAGTAACTTGTAATGTAAAGCTTGTTGCTAAGATTTTAAGCTAGAAATATTGGCTAAGAAAGGGTTAATAAACTTTGTTAATGTATCAGTTTGACCTCGAAATTTTTCTATCGCAATCTCTTCTACAATTTGTCAAGAATGAAATTTTACTGGGATTTGTCTTCATTCCTGAAATTACTCTTCAAATTTTATTAGCTTAGTATGGTCCAGTAATGCTTTCTTAACAGGATTTAGCCCAATCGACTATGTTGGCGTATTATCTCCATTTAATATAAGATACGTACTTCAATTGGAGAATCAAGTTATATAATCAATCTCTAGGCTTCATTTTCTAGGGACTATAGTACTTTCAAAAGTTAGCGTATTTAGTTTGGACAGAAGATATGATGAACTATTTTCCTCTTTACTATGTCTTAAATTTACAGACCAATACAATGTTCTAAGTCCTCGTTATGTAGTAAAGTGTTTAATAGAAGGTACGATTTATGGTTCGAGTTGTAATTGTCTTGTTATTTACTTCTAGCTGAGAATAATAATTCTCTGTAAATTTAATATTTAAACTAGGAATGTAAATCTTTGAAACCTCGCCATTTTATTACTACTGTATAAGGTACAAGTAGTTAGAGAAATATTGAATCTGTGAGATTGAAGTAAACAGTATTGTAGATGCTAATTTACGTTGTTTACGGTAGTTATGCAAGTTCATCTAGCTTATGATAGCGGTTTTTATCAATTTAGAAATCAAAATTCAAAAGTTTACCTTCGATAAACTCAAATGAGAGTTGATCTACCCATATTTCTTTCATGCAATTATAATTATTACCGGATAATGCTGCTTCTCACTTCACGCTAACTTTACTCATAAATTGGTATTGTAACATTTTCTATAGAAGCACTGGACAATTATCTGGTTAGCTGATATTAGAAATGTGAGTGCAAATCCGTAGAGTTAGACAATCTTGAGAAGGTGTACGGTACAAGTTATTCTGTAGAAATGACCGATCAATCTTTGGGCTGATGGCAATACTTATATCAACCGGTGAGAGTTTAATTCTAAATCTCACAAAACACATGCTATTCTTCTACTGAACTAATCAATCTATCCTATTTATTGTAAGATAAAGCAAGCAGCACTGTCTTTAGTAAATACATTGTTACTACCTTGGAATACCTAGGATGAACTTAGACATTCCTTTGGATGGTCCAATTCTAAAAAAATAGACCATAATTAATGTTTTAAATTATTAACTTAATTTGATATCAATTAATGATTTAGAAAAGATCGATATGTTACGAGATAAAAGGGTTATTAGTGAAATTAATTTAATTAGAGGATTTCCATTAAAAATTAAGAAGGAATCAACCTATCCATGTTTCAGTCTAATATTTCAGTAATTACTCAAGATTTAACTTTTATGGAAGGTTTTCGTATTGCTCAAGACTAGTTTTACGCTATGAATGAAGTGCTAACGGTTTTAAGCAGAAAAAAGGTTCATGTATCGAAAAGAAGATAATTTATCCATGTAAGTCACTGCGCGACAAAAGTATGCATAACTGGATGACTGCATTAAAGTGCATTAGGTAAAGTGTCTATGCTTGTCATACAGTCAGTAGAATTAATCTATTAGGTGAGTGATTGATTAATTGCTTTTATTAAGTATGAAAGTACAGGATATGAGAGTTTATTAATGAAGATGAAAAACTAATATGTATACTTCCCGTTCATTTTGATTGTAATAAGTACAACTTGGCCGCTGTACAATGAATTCACGCTAGTCTAAAATTAAATCTGATACAAATCATATTGTTTCAAGGAACGCCTACAGTGTCGAAACCATTAGCAAGCCTTTTTTTTACGATAGACTTACCTTGATGGCGCAACTCATTAAGTTTGACAACTGCAAACGACTAATATTAATGACCATATTTATATCTACGTACAGTACGAAGACAGATAGAAAAGGAGTATTATCACGAGACAGCTCAATCTATATGACAAATAGAACTACTATCAGTATAGCAAGGTAATTGCTGTTCACTAAAGAACTTAATGTGGACATAGATCAATTGCCGATATTGTGCACTCTCCAACAAGGACTTTAATTTTTTATGAAATGTGACACAGCTTAAGATGGCGTCTTTTGTTCACATTTGTGTTCTAAAGTAAAGAGACTAACTTTAAAAATTATTGCTTTAGTTGATACAAGAAATAAAATTGTCTTCTTCTATAAATGGTTCAGTAAAATTTTGACTTCTATATTTTCTAGTCCGTTAATATTGTCAATTTTTCATGTTGTTGTTAACTTCTAAAGGATCAAACCACCAATATGCGAGAATTTCCTTAACTAATACAAAGGATAATATAACATTTTAAAATCAACTACCTCTACTCAACAGTAATAGAAAAGTAAGTTAAGAACGAGTGACACATAATACATTCGGTAAACTACAGGGGATAATTTATTAACGTTATGGCTAGTTATACAAATTGATCTAGTTTAGGGCTTAAAGAATTTTAGCAGTGTAATAACCATGGTTCTTTAATTAGTGTATTAACATTAGTAACTTTCATAAAAGTCAGAATCGCATTCTTATAAGGTAAGAGCATGGGATGCAATTCATTTACTCTGCTATATAAATCACTTGGGAATATGAAAGTTGCAGTTATTTTACAATGGCGGTATTATTGCTCCTCAGGTTAGTACTTTTCGATCAACCACTTTTTCTCAGGTAAAGGTACCTTATTGATGAAGCGATCGAAGATCATTACAATAAGATATTATTAATCTGAATTTTGTCCACCCATGTACTTTCAGTAGAAATTTCCTACTGTGAGTTAAGTAATTATTGTCACAATTGAAGTCCATCACTTTTATTAGAACTATTTCAGTAATAGCATAAAGGTAACTGCATAGCTTACTTCAATTATTAAATTTATATTCTAAGCATTCAATTCAATCATCAAAATTAGTTTAGTTAGAAATGACGTCAAAGAGATAGAAATACACGTATGATGATATGCTTGTGTTCTACTTTTCATTTAACGTATAACATTTTACAATTTTGAACAATAGACTTTTAGGCCTTTTGCGAATTATAACCTACAGGTTTTCCAGATATATTGTCTGCAAGTGAATATATTATAGACATCTTTCGGGGCATATAAAAGGCTACTTTTTCATTTAGGATCTTATTCAATTGGGCACGATCTTGCGTATAGAAATTTTTCTGAAGTTTGAGGATCCTTTCTTTTCAAGAAAATTAGAAGGTAAATTACCTTTATGGCAAAAATTAATTTTTGTATCTAATGGTACTGAAAAATTGGTTCAATTGGAATAAGTCCTTTCCAATTTCTCTGAAATCACTTTACTGTTTGTTAAATTATTAATTTTGCAGATTACTTTCATGATGCTACTTGCAGCAAAAGCTTCTATAGAATCCTTGCATAGCTATCATTTCTCTAATTTACGTATCTATGCTAAATAATGCATTTTCGAGAGATACTACTGCCAACTAAAAATCCTTTAAGAATCACTTACATCATTACAGCCTCCTTACGCTTTCCTATAATTAATGAACGCATTGGCTCATTCGACTTCAGATTTAAATTTCGATAATTTAATTCAACTTCGAAATTATCTCCATTTGGTTTAATATCTGCTATACCTCAATCCCAGTTATACATAGTACTTTATTATGTGTACCAATCAAGTAATGAATTTATTTGCTATTGGTTAATTAATGTTTCAAAATTGTTGGGTTCTATTATTGCTATAAGGTAGATAAAGTATAAGTAACATAAATTTGTTAAACAACCATTATTGATAGGTTTTAAGGTAATAAATTAAAATAATTGTATTTTTTAATAGATTGGGTTCTATTAAATCGTAATAGTAGTTTAGTGATTTTTTTTACTGTAAGCAGTTTTAAGTGATGCATCAGCTACTACTATATATTTTTATAGCATGCTTTTCGAGATATTACTGATAATTCGGACACAGATTTTGCTTGAAATTGGAACTCATTTCTTGTTTAAGTCTTTATTGACTTCATTTCATTATTTTATAAATTGGAATGTTTTTCATATGTATTTTGGTTCATTGGAAAAAAGAATCAGATAATTGACACCCGTTCTCTAAATAGATAAGGTCGTTTTAACTATAGAAAGATATTTTATTGTCAGGTCCTTAACTACTTTAATGATCTCAATTTCTGTAAACGTCAGATAAATTAGTTATTCGAACTTTACAACCATTACCAGGTGGATAAAAATGTTTTATTTTATAGAAAAGATTTAAAACTTATAATTTAAGAAACCAGTAATCTTAGATTTACTTGCAATCCTAATTCTTATACATTGCTTGATCAGCTATGAATATAAAAATAGCCTTCATCGCTACCTTATTCCTTGCTTTCGCACTGGCAGAAGACAATGAGCTGGGAATTGTACAAGAAAATGAAATTGAAGAGGCTTTGAAAGACATCAATTTAGATGAAGACTTGCAGCTCTTAGATCATGAAGATGATGAAATGGAGGATAATATTGAGAGATTAGCGGTGAGTGTCCGCAATTTTAATTTAGATTACATATTATTTTTACAAAAAGCCAGTAATCAATTCGCTAAGGACGATTTTCTACGTCACTGGACGACTTAGCTAATTGAATGATAGAGACAACGCCGTTATATTATTAGTGTTAATCAAGTAATTATTTATTGCCAGCAATAATGCTAATCATGATATTCTGCAGCATACTTTTGCTTCATTGTATATAGTAAATCATTCATTACACTTATGGTTTAGGAAGATAGCTAGGACTGTAATTCGGTCTTGCATAAGGCATTTATGTTTGATATACAACATTCTATCGCTATTGTTGATTCATATTTAAAAGTTTTGTGGATTTGATTTCAATGTTTAGTTACATGTTATGGTTTTTTGAAATGCAATACCATTATTATATTCTGTGTCATGAGAATATTACTGCATATTACACTGAGTAAATATTTCAGTGTTTAGTAATATGCTATGGTTATGTAACATGCAATACTATTGTTGTATTTAATTTCATGAGAATACTGCCATATTTTATACTAAATATAGATCTATAAAGTACAATCCTGCACTGTATAGTTTTATTTCAGTTATGAAGTTACTAATGTATTCATTCCATTTTGGAATAAAAATGACGTCAAAATGATACCTGTGATTTAATAGGCTATGAAAAAGAAATCTAAGAAGGCTTGGTGGGTAAGTGATTCAAATAACGAAAAGCAATATAACCTACGCTTTTGTTGCTTATTTGAAATATTAGATGTGCTTTTGATTTATAGCTGCTAAATATATTTATTGCTCGAGTAGATAAAATAATTGATGTAGTAAACAGCAATTCGTTACTGCATAACTCATTAATTTTATTAAGA